TTTATAAGAAGAATTTCGAAAATTAGAGTTGAAGCTCTTATACGGAGCGAAGCAAAAATTTTCGCGCCAACCGGATGCAAACCCGCGAGCGTTTGACTTGAAAGCGAGACCGTTATCTCCACGGTGGCACTGCCGGACATCGATCAGCAGCGCTTACGAGCCAAAACTGACTTTTCGCAAACTTTGACCACCCAGATCTCGTCTGGGAGGTCCCCGTAGCACTTTTAATCTGCATATTCGTAATCAGCATTCGAGGCTCTATACCTAGGTCTCCATTCAAAGTTCCATGGGAAGTTCAAACCATTCCCTTGTGAGAACCTGTAGAGTGACTACTCTAGCGCGGCTTTTTGAACAAAACTCATCAGTTCGGCTAATAAAACGCATGTCAGAAATAAAACCATGAGCAGAACATGAAGGTACAATATGCAGGTACTGATTACCTCATCTATAGTCCACTGTTTCGTTTCGAAGATCGGAAGACAGTGCATCACGGATAACGAGAATTCACGTGTATCTACATTGTTCGCAAACAAGAGGCCTTCAGTTTCAGCCTGAAAATATAAACCTAACCAGAATAACAAGGTTTTGCCCACTGACTACAAAATACTATCCATCCATGGGTTCAGGAGGGTCATAGCACATATGAAATGGGAAAAACCGCGAAAAATCACAACAACATGGAATTTTTTCGCGGCTCCGAAAAACTCTCAAAGGGAAATACGACCCCCAACGTCTCTCAGCAAACAGCAAATACGACCTCCCCCTTCCTACCCCTCCACTCCCAAGTGGATCCTCACAATGATGTGGGAAGCGCGAGTGAAACAGTGAAAATCTTATTAAATATGAAAATAATGAAAACATGTGTATGTACCAAGTACGACCCCCTCCAGAGACCAACAAGACCCCCTCCCTCTTCCCACTGGGGTTTCCCAACTACGACGTGTTCCGACACTTATTGTCCATGAAAAATTGGAATGAGCGAACAGCTTGAATAGCGCCGACGACAGTAGAAGACTGACGCAGTTTGGAAGATGAGTTCAGCTTAAGCGTAAGCCATTATATTCGCCAGAATCTCAAACCTAGAGAACTACACAACAGAACGCGTCACAGCTTCGACCCCCGCAGTAAACTTCTTTGAAATAAAAATACAAAAAGTTGAATATTTGATTCACCTCTACATCTCCAGCCACACCAAGCGTACGTTCCAACTTTCCTCTTGCAAACTGCGCCGTTGCTTGCCATTCCACCATTCTTGCAACAAAGATGAACTTTGCAAAATCCTAAACACTCATTTCAAGTCAGCTGAGCAGAGATCTCGGAGCCACAAGGCAATGTGCGACAACTTATTTTCAAAAGCAAGCTTCTCTCCAAAGCTCATCTGCCTAGCAAAAAAGAAGAAGAGTGACAGACATATAAACTTCCTACCTGCGGCCTTTCGAAGAACCCTGAGGGCAGCTGATCAGCAGGTATCATCATACGCGGCATTCGAGAATCAGTAGGCGAAAAGAGCGCCCAGTTGCGATTACCATCTGTCATCACCTTCAGTTGACCCATTGCTGCTCGACAATTCTTCATTTCCATAAATGTACATAACCTAAAACCTCCAGAGTGGCGCTTCGAAGGAGCTAAAGATGGTGATACTAGGTGTGCCTATTTTCCGAAGCGAAAAACAACAACAACACATCCATAGTTTGAACTAGCCTGAAGCCTCTCCAATTGCAGCACATTTAAAGACACATGGTACGCTCAAACACATTGAGGTGTATGAGACTATCAGCCCCCAGCTGTCGATGTGTCGTGGTCCCCCGCCCAAAACTGCACGGGGTCAGAGTACGGGACCGTGGGAAAGTCGTAATTCCTTGCTACGCCGCCCGTTTTTGCAAACTCACGTTTTTACTAACACCGTCCGCGCGGCGCGGTCGCGTGCAGCTCTCTTGGCTTTTTGCCAAGTCCTGTAATTGCGCTTTGGAATACAAGTACAACGCAAATTTCTTTATGCGGATAACATTTTAGGTTCTGCAAAATAAGAACTGAAGATGATGACGAGGGCTAGAACTCAAGAGTTAGTATTGAAGTAATTTTTACAGGCAATTAGAGTCCGGGATTTCGAGGGGGGAGCCGGATCGCAGAAATGCACACGCGATTTTAATTTATTGCGTTTCCTTAGTTTTTTCAATTTTGTTTTATTTACATCTACATTCGTTGTTGTTCATTTCTAGCCTTTGTCATCTTCATCACCTCTATTCGGACTTTGAAGCATGAGCAATACCTCAAATGTTAGAAATTGCGTTTTGCTTGTAGTGTCATGTTTTATTGTCATGTTGTCCGTTTTATTGTCATGTTCTGTGGGAATGCGCGGCCTCTGAGGGATATTGCAGAAGCACCACAGTTGCTCTTGAGTTCTAGCCCTTGTCATCATCTTCGGTTCTTATTTTGCAGCACCTAAAATGTTATCCGCATAAATAAATTGCGTTGTACTTGTATTCCAAAGCGCAATTTCAGGACTTGGCAAAAAGCCAAGGGAGTTGCACGCGACCGGGCCGCGCTGATGGTGTTAGCATAAACGTGAGGGCGGTGTAGCAAGGAATTACGACTTTCCCACGGCCCCGTACTCTGACCCCGTGCAGTTTTGGGCGGGGGACCACGACACATCGACAGCTGGGGGCTGATAGTCTCATACACCCTCAATGTGTTTAAGCGTACCATGTGTCTTTAAAAACCTACTATATTAGTAAATCGAATAGTTGCTGCTTCCTGATTTATTCGATAAAAGTAGAGTGAAAACCGAGTTACCTCTGCAGTCTTCTGTAGACACACATCTGGCACTCCCCAGTCTTCATCGGGCATTTCTGATAGCGTTCGATACGCAGCCCTCTTTCCACTTGACACAATCTGCGTCCGTTTCGGTACACCAGGAAGTTTCCTTGCCAACTGGGCACTCGTCGAAGCACCAAAGTCACCCATACGTCCAATCGATAGAGAATCGATAGTTTTCTGGAAAAGTTAGCTCGTACCACAACAGTACATTTAATAACAATACTGCCTACCTGGACATCTGGAGGAGGGAGGCTAGGATGAATGATAGGTACGGTGGAAGCACCTTGTGCTGACAGGGATTCCCGACGAGCGATCTCGTGCTGAATGAGAAACGGTTAAAAAATAGTAGTTAATAATAATAGTATTCCAACAGCAGTAAGCACACCTCCACTTAAAGTAGATATACACTCGATAAAGCGTGTAGACTTTTGGCGTCATCCGAAACTAGCAACTTCAATGGGGTATGCTCACCGCATTATATGAAGAGCGTCACGGTGTATTGTGGCAGAGAGATCGTAATGCACAGCGCACTGGTGCGGCCTCGCGTTGCGGACGTCGCGCCGCACAAATGAACGGACTGTTCCAGCTAATAGATGGCGACAACGGTGCCAATTCAATTCAGAACCAAAAATAGTCATGAATGTCTACGATGACGGGTACTACATGGAGTCCGGTGCTCCAGTTGACAGGCTAACATGAGTTCAGAAAACGCCGCGCCCATCGCCGCGTGCTGCGAGCGGCGAATTACGATTCTCTTTGCCCCTCTCCCCATTGGATCTTTTTCTCTTAAGGAATACCCGACTCTACATGGAAAATGAGAGTGATTTCATGATGATTCGCACACCCTCACAGATTTCAATAACAAAAATCTATTCGAGCCACTCAGCAGTCCGTGATGTAGGTAACGGGAAAGGGCGTGAGGCGAGACTAGGCCGCGCACACTATACTCGCAAGCGATCTCCAAAATCAAAGTTTTCGGGCAAATATCACAATGGAGAGGCCGCAGACGGGCACAAAGAAAGCACAGCTGAGTGATCACCACTCCCAACTGAAATAGTGCCGCCATTCGACCACCAGATGCCCAAACGTTCTCCAAGATGCCGTCTGGCAGCTCCTGTCACTAAAAAATTACCATTTGGCTCAAAAAAAATCCGTAAGACTTTGGCCCACTTAGGTTCATGGTTACCCTTGTAAACATCTTGCCCCTCAACTAGTTCACCTTTGATATGCACTCAGCGTTCAGACTTCGACGCGCTATCACTGGAGCTATACTTACGTCAACGCGCTACCAATGCTACCACAAGAGTGGAACCCAACCGAAGACGGATATTGCATTCGGTGCCCTGGTCGTTTGGTTTTGAGGCGAGCATGGAATACCGGAGGGTACGGCTGCCTTCACACCAGTTTTGCCGTTATCCTCCTATTGCCCTATAGTCTCTCAGAACCACCAAAGACGCCGCGATCAATATCCGTCTGCAGCTGCGTACCTCCGTATAGCTGGTAAAACTACCCAATGGTAGCGCGTCGTCACGGCAATTTTGAATGCCCTCAATCAGTAAAATATGGACCGCTGCGACTTCGACTGAAGTGATCGAACATTTCTGATCTACCAAACAATAACAGCTTGAACTTTCTGAGATCGGTCAATGAACTTTCCCCACATTACATACCTGAGCTCCAATGATGACCATCGCTTGTCGGCTGTATTTTCGATCTTTATTCGGAGGGATGGTGAGATTCAGATTTTGCTTTCCTGTATATGAGGATGCCGCCAGTCCTGCCAATTTAGCAGACCTTAAAAAGATGAATAAGAAGAGGTTACACATCATGTACAGCAAAAATAGGAATTGAATTAGGAAGCTTGCTGTTGATAATATGAAAGACAGCCCCAACTGCTAGGATGGCTGAGACAGGTAGTCTATTACCAACAAGCCGTGTGCCTCGAGCTTCGAGAATGCTGCTGCATTCATATCAGTTATTTCCCAAACTGAATGTGGGCTGTGAATTGCCCACATCAGTTTGGAGTAAATGATATGAATGCAGCAATTCTTCACTTGCGCAAGGTAGCCGGCTTCGCCGATGCAGAGGCAGAGGCACGCCACCGGTACGTGAGTTGTATCTAGCGTATGTTCGGAAGTTCTCAGCGTTTTTTGTGTCAAACTCGTTTTTTGTACATTCATTGCTGATCTTGACAAATTCGAAATCAGTGGGGCGGATGGGAGGGTACTGTGTAAGGCATGGGTAGGCCACATGGGAGACCTGTGGTGCAGTTGGCTCATACACTTCCTAAATCAGATGCAACGGCTGAAGGAAGGATGCCTAGGAGAGCAAGCACCAATCGCTTCCCACACTTCAAACAGAAAGGGGACGCGACGGAGTGCTCCAACTACCGCGGCATCAAGTTGACTCCCCATACCATGAAGCTGTACGAGCGCCTGGTCAACACTAGGCTGAGGGAACTGTCCCTATCTCGCAGGAACAGTTCGGCTTCATGCCCGAGAGGTCCACCACGATGCCATCTTCATCGCCAGACAGCTGATGGAGAAGTACCGAGAGAAGCGGCGACCCTGCTACCTAGCCTTCCTGGACCTTGAGAAAGGCATTTCGAGAACGCCTGCCTCGTCTGTACTCTGGAAGTCAGAGAACCGTAAACGTTCCCGCCGAGACACCGTCATCTCCCATAGCGAAGGACATTTACGATGCGGGCTAAAGCACTGCTACCCCGCACGGCTTGACGAAGGAGGTAAACATTACGGTTGGGATAGATCAAGGACCATCCCTCAGCCCGTTCCCCTCCCTCCTGGCTCTGGATGCCACGGCAAAAGAAATCATGTAGGAGCCATTTGGAAAACCTCGATAGCGACAACAGGGAAGAAGAGGCAGGAGGGAGTCCTACTGGCATCCTGTGCGACCGGCGGTGCTCGAGAACGCTCAAGGGCAAGGTGTACCGGGCGGTGGTAAGGCCTACAATGCTCTACGGCAGTGAGTGCCTGCAAGAACCATGAAAGGCAGCTTCACTCAGCTGAAATGAGGATGCTGAGATGGGCCTGCGGCTGGACACGACTCGACAGAGTCAGAAACGAGGACGTCGAGGGCGGTCACACAAACGGCTTCAATCCAGCTGAAGGCACGAGAGCAGCGCCTGCGATGGTATGGGCACGTACTGAGGAGGCCTGAAGATCACCCAATAAGGAAGGCATTGGAATTCGAAATAGAGGGCAAGCGACCACGAGGAGCCCCAAAGAAAAGATGGAGGGACGTCATCAAGAAGGACCTCACTGAAGTGAAAGCCACAGCAGAAGATGCAGTGGCTTTCACTTCAGTGAGTCCGTGTAAACAAGTGGCGACGCTTAACGAACAGCGGACCCTGTGACGGCGCGGGACTAACGCTAGGGAGAAGAAGATTGCTAATTAAAAACTCATTCTCCCTTGCTTCTCAGTAGTACATCCTGAAGAGAATTTTTGCGCTATCTGATGGTATAATTGCCGTTTCACCATTGCTTGATGAACCCCCTTTTCCCAAGACTTTTTGAAGCATGTCAAAAGAGCAACTTCGGACGATATTTTTCTTCACTACGAACTGGGTCAATCCGCAGCCGAGATAGCTCGACAAATTAACCAGGTGTGGGGGCCCAATAGTGTTGGAGAAAGCACCGTGCGACAATGGTTCGACAAATTTCGTTCTGGAGATTTCAGCCTTGAAGATGAACCTCGTAGCGGTCGACCTAAAGCAATACCTGACGAGGATTTGAAGGCGTTTGTGGAGGCTGACCCATCCCAAACAGTTCGAGGGATTGCAGAAAAGCTAGGCGTTGGCAAATCACTGTTGCTGATGGTCTGAAACGCATTGGGAAAGTGAAAAAACTCGACAGTTGGGTGCTCCACAATTGAGTGACCGGCAGAAAGTGGCACGTCTCGAGGTTTCTTCTTCACTGCTTTTGCGCAACAGAAACGACCGTTTTTGGACCGAATTGTCACCTGTGATGAAAAATGGATCATGTATGATAACAGGAGACGTTCCGGACAGTGGTTGGATGCCGACGAACCATCGAGGCAATTTCCAAAGCCGAAATCTTCATCAAGGTTACGGTCACAGTGTGGTGGTCATCGGCCTAGTAAACTTCTTTGTCACCACCGGCCCAACAGCAGAGTCCTGCTGTGCAAGCGACGATAGTACCGAAAATTGCGTCAGCTGCAGCCAGCACTTGTCAACAGAAAGGGTCCGATTCTTTTGCATGACAACGCCCGCCCACACGTTTCACAAATCACTATCCATAAATTGAACGAATTGGGGGTTGAAGTTCTAAATCACCCCACCCACCACTCTAGACCTTTGCAATCGACACACCTTTCCAAACATTTTCCAGAACCTTCCTGCCTCGAAAAATACTTTCAATTTACGACCTGGCCAAAAAAGCCCTCGTTAATTTCGTGGATTCTCGACCACCCACTTTTTTCCTTGATGGGATTTCTCGACTGCCGTCACATTGGCAAAAGTGTGCTGATTCGAACGGTGCTTATTTCGATTAAATATGAGTATTAAGGAAGTTGTGATCGTTTAAAGTGAAACACTCAAAACGCTGAGAACTTTCCAGACAACCTAATAATATTGATCTCTAGAGCTCTGTAAAAGCTGAACGCTATTCACCCACCTCAACGAGATCATTCGGGATTTCGGTGCTGCCACCCGGCAGGAATTGTTATCGGCTGACCATTATCCTCGCGGGAGACGTTCAGATGACCAGCGCGCCATGCCTGGTAGAGGTTCTCGCGGATCTTAACGAGCCCAAATCAGAAATCATTTTGTAAAATCACCTATTAAGTAACCCACCACCCAGTTCATGCGCTCTTTAATGCGCACAATCACCACATCGCCATGCAATGCTCGATTACGGTCGTGAACTCCAAGAATCAGAAGGTCCAGTTGATCATCGCCATCAGGATTGTCTACGTACGATTCTTCATAATTACGTTGGTTCACACATAGTGATCCCTGAACAGATTTCAGCAATCGAAGCGGGTGAGCGAATATGAAAAATCCCTTTCTACTCATTTCTATACATCCTTCTAGATTCTGATGTCTATTTACTCTCCTCATCATTACGGACTGTCGGGGCGGGTCAGTGCGGCTGCGTTTTCCGCGGTGCCAAAGTCTTTCTGCACCAGTTGTTGAAGCGAGCAAATGACATGACAGCATTATATCCTTCGTATTACTCGTTTTCTACCACTTTTTGTCGCATACGCGTTTCAACGAAAAGGCTGAGAACGGCTTCAAACAGTGTGCGCACTCCTACTGGCTGATACGCCCCGACAGTCCGTAATGATGAGGAGAGTACCTGCTCTCCCTCCCCCTGCGAAGGGATTCGTGCAGTCCTGCAGATGTTGGGCGGATCAGGGGAGCCCGTTCTCTAGCAGTATTAGAGGCTGGTAAGCGAAAACGATAGGCTGGTAGGTGAGGAACTGGTGGCGCCGCCGAATACTCATTCTCCTGACCAGCGCCCCAGCACCACCAGCGAGGACGTTGTTGTATGACAAATGGCGCCAACTACCAAATGCGCGGACGCGGGCTTAAAAACCTGGATTGCTCCTGCTCGAGCTAAACCAAGGGTTTTTTTTTATCCCTCCGATGCTGGTAACAAAAACTGCGTTCGGCGAGACGAAAGTTGAACAGCTGCGTTCCCAGCCCCCCCCTCGCCGCTCCACCCATTATTCTTTGCATGGGCCTTCAAAATTGAAAGCCACTACTATTCTGACTGGACTTCTAGATGTTTGGCTGCTTGAGATCTAATTGATAGCCATTGAATAACGTCTAAAATTCCTAATGGACCCTTGAAAGTAATCTCATACCTTCACTAGGTCACCGTTGGCCAATCCTCTTGTTACGGCTTCAAGGCTCATATACGGCATGAAATAGGGTTTACGAGTTTTTTGATTACTTGCCACCCCAACTGGTTGACTCGAACTCTGGTACAATGACATACTAGTGCTGAAAAATAGAAGCTAAATATAAGCGTTGAAATCAGGATCACTTTTAAACCTACTTAGACCTGCTCGTCGGATAACTGCTTGGTGGCCTGTAAGTCGACGAGCTAAGAGAGACCGTTCGTCGGGACGGTGGAGTGGCACCATGATGTCCAGCACTTTGCGTGTTGCCTTTGTAGAGCGGTGGATGTCCTGATAATTTGAAAGAATCAAGGATCTAGAAAAGCGGAATCGAAATACGATTGAACAGACCATACTGATTCGGGTGGGTAGCATGATGAGAATGTGACGACGGTGGCGGAGGCGGAGGACGATGTCCTGACGACGACATGTTTCGATCTAACGGGAACATCGGAGAGAAATTCACCCACGGCAGTAGAAAGTCTGGAGACAGTGACGCTCCACGCCCACACTGTCGACTGTCACGACAGTATGGTCCATCACGTCCTAGAAAGAGGTAATCTTTAAAAGTACTGGAAGGGAACGGAAAAGCTGGAAAGGCTGATAATTAGGCTACATTCATAATTTGCGTCGGTGGTTTGAGCGTACAGCAGCGTTCTTAGCGGCTATCCGCTAGGAGCTCAAAACTGACCGCGGAACACCCTAAGGCAGCGTTCATACTTCGCGACAGCAGCGGCGATCGTCTTTACGCGACAGAGCGCGCCCCAACGCTATTACTTATACCACTCCGAGTGCTTTGAGGAAGAATCGACTCAATTTCGTGCTTTTTCCTTTTGACTGCAACTGTCCCAGGTACTAAAGCTTGGTTTAGACACAAGGAAAGGTGGACCAACTTAATGGCTTTTGTTTTCTATTTTCTTTTTTAGGATTCAGGATAGAAATGAGCAAAAAGTGTGAGAGCTTCAGAGCTTCTAGGTGAGTTCTTATTGTTTCTTTTTTCATTCTTCGAACTTATACATGAACTTATTAAGTTTCCTCCTCCTCGTTGTTGCATAAAAAGAATTAGTGTTCCTCTAATTCCTAGGTGGGTTCCTCTCCGTTTCTTTTTTTTCGTTGTTTGAACTCGACTTGTAAACTATAAATGTTTTGGAAGTTGAACAGTTTGGCCAGTAGGGAAGTTTCAAGACACTTACATAAATTGAAACAATTAAAACAAAAAAAAAACAAAAACACTAACTATAAGCGAAATGAATTTTGCCCTTGTCTCGCGACCTAAGAAAAGGTGGAATCCCCCCCCCCGCCCCATCCCTCCTTCCTCATTATTCCAGATCCTCCTTAGGTTATGGAAGCCATGAGATTTCAATAGTAGCTCATTAATTATGGAAAAAACGGTCTCACATGTTAAAATTTCCATATTTACCAACGCGACAGCGGTCCAAGTCATAGCGTTGTCCGGCCACGCCTGTCACGTACGACGGTTCGTTGGCATAGCCCGCCATCGTCGCCTTGCTGTCGTCGATGTTATTGAACCCTCCTAAAAACGCCGCCATGCGTCAAACTCATACTCGATATCTACACAAAGAATTCTATGGAAACCAAAATCGCTTAGCTGTAATGCTGAACGCGCTCGAAACACTGAATGGCGAAGACTAATCTGGAGAAATCGCACCACTTATGCAAGAATGGGTGCAACGTTGACTAGGGACACATTGATTGAGGTTTTTCAAGATAAAAATAAGCATACGCAAGCAAGGTAGCACAAGTTAGCTGAATCTCGAGCTACATATGAAATGAATATGGAAAAAAGCGGCAATTTTACTAACTACGGGCAGCCGTCAGACTTCGACAGAAATTACGCCGCGAAAACAATCGAAAAACGAATGCAATCCATTGGCCAATGCGCAGACGAAAACAACAAGCAGCTCAATAACGAACATAAAATCGAACTCAGGCAGGAATAGCAGTTAGAGTTCGAAAGAATACAGAAAGATAATGGAAAAGAGACCCGCCCTTGCCTACCATCCGCAACCAGTCAGAGCCAGCCTTAAAATAAAATCCCATTCTCCTACTATAACTGTGCTGACATTACGCGCCACGAACGATCAAAAAAACTCACTAACTAAATATAATTATAAACTATACTCACCCTCAGACAACCCAAAATATAGCCACGATGCGCGGCGAATTGCATACTTAGTCTATAATGAAATTTACGCGGTCTATAGCGCTTGGCAGCGCTACTGCAAATGGTAGACCCTGTCTGTAGCGGCTTCAATATCGCCGAAGTCCCGAAAACGCAAATGTCTAAATGGCTGCGTATTATAAACCGATGCGACGTCGTTCGATAACCAACGTCGAACGCTAACGACGTTTCTACGACTACTTCACGAAGACGAAATACGTATTGATCCGACGTAACCATGAAACCGACGAAAGCTGACGCAGCTTTCGTCAGTACGCAGCTTTCGTCGGTTTCGTCCGTTACGTCGGATCGATACGTATATAATCTTCGCGAACTAGTCGTCGAAAACGTCGGTTACGTCGACGTTGACGACGGCGTCGCACGGTATGATCGCAGCCTATGATACAATCTGTCCTGTTACAGGAAGCTTAGCGGAAACAGGAAAGTCATTCAGTACTCGATGAGTGTGAACAATCCATCTTGAGCACACTTCTGCCTTGTACTACGCCCTTTTGATTCTACCAGCAGATCAGCGAAGAAAAAGGACTTGAAGAGAACGGAAGACCGAAAACAACAGAGGAAGATAGAGATTGGGAAAAATGGGAGGCAGAAGGAAACAATTTAACAAGAAATACATTTAATTAAATTGCTCCCCACCTAAGCTAAAGATAAAACTGTCTATATTGGGTCATTTATAGGATTCCTGTGGAAACCTCGCAATAAGTGAGATTGACGATCTCTCAAAGGAGCCTCAATAGATAAAACACGGATGGAACTGACTGTCTCGACATCGCAACAGACAGCAAAAGCGCCAGTCATGCCTAACATCTGTGAATCGATTCAAAATCAGACGTGCGAAAAGAATCGGAAGCAAATGTAACACTTGATTTGCATAAGTACAGGTGTGCAGGAATACATAGACAGTCGTTTGTAAAGCAATACAAGAAAGAATACGCGATCGCAAAGATTGGGAATGTGGCGATTCTATCGTGAGTCTCTGCGGTGGTGAGCGTGGCCTGCGTCGACGCACCCTTTGTGTACTAGCTGTGAGGCAGCGTTCAGACTTCGCGACGGCAGCGCTTCGGTCGCGCGTTCGACGCGATCGATGCAGTCGAAAGCATGCGCATCGATCGCGTCGAACGCGCGACCGAAGCGCTGCCGTCGCGAAGTCTGAACACTGCCTAGCAGCGTTCAGACTTGTCGCGCTGCAATTGTCGCGCTGCAATTGTACCAGACCCCAGCTTCCCTTTATGTTCATTCTTCCGGTATTCAATCCCTTTTTCACTGTTTCTCTTCTACCTGATTCTTAGCTCCTCTTTTTCACTTTGAAAGTGAATTTTTTAATGTAGTTTTTGATG